ACTGGGAAAATAAAATATGGTAATAAAGTGAATCTGAAATGGTATACAATACCGGTAAGTTAGGTATCTTTATTCCGAAACGTTTCGCTACACAATGGGTTTCTTTAGTCGAGTATAGAAGAGTGAGCAGAAGCACTAGAGATGTGAAGACGTTATAATCAGTCCATTCCCCTTGAAGACGTAGTTTTGAGGTGGTCAGTCCCTCAGCCTGCATATGGGACTGACACGTGGAAAAGAGTGTTAGTTCTGTTCTATGGTGTCGTAAGTCTGGACGTAGTTCTTGTATACTAACACCAACAGCGGGTGTTGTGTGTTTTACACTTTCAGGTACACTGTGTTATTCTGTCCCAGGTGCCTGGTACTCTGTGATACTGTCCCAGCTACCTGGTACTTTGTGATGCTGTCCCAGCTACCTGGTACTTTGTGATACTGTCCCAGCTACCTGGTACTTTGTGATGCTGTCCCAGCTACCTGGTACTTTGTAATACTGTCCCAGCTACCTGGTACTTTGTGATACTGTCCCAGCTACCTGGTACTTTGTGATGCTGTCCCAGCTACCTGGTACTTTGTGATACTGTCCCAGCTACCTGGTACTTTGTGATACTGTCCCAGATACCTGGTACTTTGTGATACCTTGTACTTTGTGATACTGTCCCAGCTGATTGGAACTCTGTGTTATACTGTGCCACCTAGATAGTGCTTAGAGTTATACCGTCCCAGGTGCCTAGTACTGTGTTATGACATCCCAGTTACCTGGTACAGTGTACCATGACTCGCACGAGATTTTTTATGAGTTGTGGGGGAAGTCCAGAAGATTTATTATTAATGTTAGTTATCATTATATTATTATTATTATTATTATTATTATTATTATTATTATTATTATTATTATATTATTATTATTATTATTATTATTATTATTATTATTATTATTATTATTATTATTATTATTATTATTATTATTATTATTATTATATTATTTATTATTATTATTATTATTATTATATTATTATTATTATTATTATTATTATTATTATTATTATTATTATTATTATTATTATTATTATATTATTATTATTTTGTTATTGTTGTTGCTGATAATGTTATTTATGTTGATGTTGTTCATGTTGATGTTGAAGCCATCATGTTCAATTCAAGAGTGGGGGGGGGTGACAAGCCCCTCTTCCTAGGATTAAGAGCCCGTCCTTCTCCAGAATCAAGGCACCTCTCTCGAGGGTACAGTTAACATAATAGTCTCAGCTAATCGAGTTTATTAGAGAAAACTCGAGATAGCTCTAATCTCTCTCTCTCTCTTTTCAAGTCTGCAGTAAAGAGGATATATAATTTAATATCTCGTAAGTGGCTTTACCAAGTTAATCAGAAAATTCTCCACCTCGGGGCCACCATAGAATTAATATTGAATTTTCAGATTTCTGGATTATCTGCGAAGTAAAAAATGAAGTTAATTTTTTTTTTTTTGAAAATTAAGTTAGGTTCACCTATCCCCGATCAGTTATAAACCTTGATAACGTGGCCTCCCGATAACCCTGGCCTCCCGATAACCCTGACCTCCCGATAACTCTGGCCTCCCGATAACCCTCTGTGATACGGTGGTATGACAGCTTCCCCAGCAGTGCTGTGGTATAAGTGAGTCAACAATGTATATATCTTGAGAAGCTGACTTCTTTTAACCCCATCTTGGGAAATGATGCTGCTTGTGTAATATTCTCCTATTTTAACTTTAGAAAGACAATTACAACTATATTTAGAGACTGTTTGAGAAACATTGCTCACAAATCACAGTTGTGAGTCTTCTTTATTTCAACTCACAACTCATAGTTGTGAGCTGAATGAACACCAGATTCTTAGGCAACCCACATTTCAAATGTTTCTCAACCCACATGAATTTAAATACCAAACTTAACAAATTATGAAGAATCTAGATTCTAGACATACCTAGCATGGGACAGCTTAGCATGGGCCAGTAGGCCTGCTGCAGTGCTCCTTCCTTCTTAAGTTCTTAAACATAACACACAACTCTAAAGCATCTCACGAGTTCCAAGATGTTTATTTCCTAGCACGTAACCTATGTGCACATGGGACATGAGAGTGTTGACACCATCTGAACTCACAAATGACCTGACAGTTTGAATTAATTCCAACCCAATACACAAGAGAGTAAATTTATGTGTTTGTGTGGTGAGGTGAATTATGGATAATCTGAACGAGTGGCAAATAATACAGTTTAAATATTATTAGAGTACATTGTATTACGAACACAGGTAAGAATGGTCTGTAACCTGGTCATAATGGGGTTTTTCGGAGCAAACAAACTCAGCAGAAATATTTAAGATATATATACCAGATATATATATACAATTATGTACACTATGTACAGGAATTGAATATTAGTGTACCACACGGTGACAAAGAATTGCAAAACTAGAAGCGAGAGAGAGAGAGAACACCATAATCAACCAGCAGCTAAGCAAGTCTGGCAAATGCTGACTGCGAGTGAACCACGTCGCCTCAGCATTTGGCGGGGTCGCCTGTGACTGGACAATGAACCAAGGTACTGATTTAACGACGGGCACCCTAAAAATCGTTAAATCCTTAGCACCCGGTTCGCTGGTTGGAAGGCAGCCTATATGGGAGTGTGAACATACGCCGAATAAATTGTAACATACTCTTTGTATGCCACACATGGCATAAACAGCTAGTAGAGGACTTTTAAGTTCACACAGAGCTGTTTACTATCTACAGAATTCAACAAATTAAGAACTATCATCTTTTATTTGCCCGTTTGTGGCTGAGATAGTAAAGCAAATGGCTCCCCTCATTCCCTCCTTTCCCTTCAGCCACTACAAGCATGAAACGAAGGGAAAAACATACCATGCCATACTGAGCAAAAATGGAACGGCAATTATAGAAGAGGTAGAAGTACATGGGAAACATACAATTAAAACTACCTCTATTTTTGATCATTGTTCCTTTGGCAACTACTCAAGGTAAAGTACTGGTACACACAGAGTTGTGTGTGCCAGTGATTCTGCTTCTAGTAATCGCTAGTTCTACTTGTAGCTACTGTGGAGCAGCTGGACGTGAACAATTTGATATATTGAGCAGTTTTGTAGCAAATAATATTAGCATTCTACTTCCACCACCACTGCTACTTCTATATATTTTATTATTATTATTATTATTATTAATATTATTATTATTTTCTAGGTAGCTCAACTAACTTCAGTAATTCACTGACTACAGTTTGCCCCTGCGTAGTATCTAGCTTAATGCTGTGTTTAGAAAGTACTTGTTCAGCTGATTCTTAAATGATGATATTTTCTCCGCACTTAGTTTCAACAGATAGTTTCTTCCAGTCTGCTATAAATCTATATATAAAAAATAAGAGAAATTTAAGACGTTCGTGTTGCATCTCTTGCCTCAAAGTTTAATTCTATTTTGTGTATTATTGTACTTCAAATAGTGCTTCGTGTTCAGGTGTATAAAAAAAACATTTAATATTTTAAAGGTTGGAGTGAGATCTGTATCCTCCGTTTCGTAATGGACAAAAGGTTTAGTGTTTTTATACTTTCCTGATACGGTTTGTTATTAAGTGAGAGTTCGACTGTACTTGTCCGTCCTCCTTTCTATCATCTCTAGTCAATTACCACACGGCATATTCAAGACGCGATCTAGAATGCACATTATAATGTCAGTATTGTCTCTGGTGTATTATAATCGATATTTCTAGCATTGAAATTTAGCATCCTGTTGGTTTCTCTGATTGCAGATACACGAGATTAAATGGATGATTAAATAATGTCTGAAAACAAATTAGTAGAGAAAGGAAACAGAGAATGATCTTGAAATAAGCATAAGCAACGATTATCAGAATGCTAAACAATGTCTGTGAACAGCCAAGACAACATAATTCTAAGCTTCACAGAGAGAAATTTCCAGCAGTAAACGTAAGAAAAAAAATTGCCCTTTTTACATCACACTTAGATTATGTGCAGTTTTGGTCTGTAAGTTAACTGGAAGATAAAGCCAGGCTTAAGATGGTGTGGAGAAGAGTAATTAAAACTCATACCTTCATTAAAACTCATACCTTCATTAAAACTCATACCTTCATTAAGAAACAATGTATATAAAGAATGACTAAGATAAGATCTCATTCATGTCTTTAAGAGTTTGAGTATATCATATACCTTGAGTATATCATATACTTAAACAACCAAGTACTTTTTTTAAAATGCTGGGTAAGTAGTCTTGAATAGTTAAACTTCGAGACAAGAGATCCAACACAAATGTAAGCATTTTCTTTACAGAATTATTAATCACTGGAACAGACTGCCCGCTGAAGTTGTAACTGATAAAAACAATACATTGATATAAGTGTGAGCTGTGAAAGAACTTTAAAATAATCAGCAAACTAGATATAACACAGAGGTTGGCTGTAGTCAGAGGAAATCTGACGTTAGTTGAAAAACTGCCCGATGAACCACACAGGTAGTAATAGTAGCTGGGAAGTAGAGAAGGTGGTGGTGGTGGTGGTGGTGGTGGTGGTGGTGGTGGTGGTGGTGGTGGTAAAACTACTGTCTTTAAAAAAAAAGCAAACTACATTTCAGATAGACTAAGTCTATTTTTTTTTCCAGCAGAGAACCTCGACCAGGAAAACTAACTTTAACGTTCTTATTTCTCTTAGAAAAGCTAACTTCAACTCTGTTCTCTCTCCCAGCAAAGCTAACTTCAGTGTCATTATCTCTTATAGCATAGCAAAGCTATCTTTAATGCTGTTATCTCTCTCTCTCTCTCTCTCTCTCTCCCGCAAGTTGTTTGTTCTTTTTCATAGCAAAGCTATCTTTAATACTGTTATCTCTCCCAGCAAAGCTAACTTCAGTGTCATTATCTCTCATAGCATAAAAAAGCTATCTTTAATACTCTTTTCTTTCTCTCCCAGTAAAGCTAACTTCACTGTTATTATTCTCTTGCCTCCGCAGTTCCAGCTGCGAGTATACCTGGACCTAGAGAGCTGTTTATCAGAAGTGGCTCCACCCTCGTCTTGACCTGCACAGCTCTTCTTCACCCTGACGCCGTCAGCCAGGTGAGTGTGCCCTCCTGGACGCCGTCAGGTGAGTGTGTCCTCCTGGACGCCGTCAGCCAGGTGAGTGTGCCCTCCTGGACGCCGTTAGGTGAGTGTGTCCTCCTGGACGCCGTCAGCCAGGTGAGTGTGCCCTCCTGGACGCCGTCAGATGAGTGTGTCCTCCTGGACGCTGTCAGTCAGGTGAGTGTGTCCTCCTGGACGCCGTCAGCCAGGTGAGTGTGCCCTCCTGGACGCCGTCAGGTGAGTGTGTCCTCCTGGACGCCGTCAGCCAGGTGAGTGTGCCCTCCTGGACGCCGTCAGGTGAGTGTGCCCTCCTGGACGCCGTCAGGTGAGTGTGTCCTCCTGGACGCCGTCAGCCAGGTGAGTGTGTCCTCCTGGACGCCGTCACCCAGGTGAGTGTGCCCTCCTGGACGCCGTCAGGTGAGTGTGTCCTCCTGGACGCCGTCAGCCAGGTGAGTGTGTCCTCCTGGACGCCGTCAGCCAGGTGAGTGTGCCCTCCTGGACGCCGTCAGGTGAGTGTGTCCTCCTGGACGCCGTCAGTCAGGTGAGTGTGTCCTCCTGGACGCCGTCAGCCAGGTGAGTGTGCCCTCCTGGACGCCGTCAGATGAGTGTGTCCTCCTGGACGCCGTCAGTCAGGTGAGTGTGTCCTCCTGGACGCCGTCAGCCAGGTGAGTGTGCCCTCCTGGACGCCGTCAGATGAGTGTGTCCTCCTGGACGCCGTCAGTCAGGTGAGTGTGCCCTCCTGGACGCCGTCAGGTGAGTGTATCCTCCTGGACGCCGTCAGCAGGTGAGTGTGTCCTCCTGGACGCCGTCAGCCAGGTGAGTGTGTCCTCCTGGACGCCGTCAGCCAGGTGAGTGTGCCCTCCTGGACGCCGTCAGGTGAGTGTGCCCTCCTGGACGCCGTCATGTGAGTGTATCCTCCTGGACGCCGTCAGCAGGTGAGTGTGTCCTCCTGGACGCCGTCAGCCAGGTGAGTGTGTCCTCCTGGACGCCGTCAGCCAGGTGAGTGTGCCCTCCTGGACGCCGTCAGGTGAGTGTGCCCTCCTGGACGCCGTCAGGTGAGTGTGTGTTCCACCCGGATGCAGTCAGTAAGTTGAGATTGGAGATCAGGCTTCAGTTCCTTCCCTCCGCTTTTTTTGTTTTCCTTCCCATACTTGTTATATTGTGAGTGACAATTTTCCAATGGCCTTCTATCGTATAATCTCTCCCACGTCGCAGTTTAGGCATTTATAAGTATCTCCACTGTTCCTTTCTCTACTTCTCCCATATTATCCATTTCCCTCTTTGAATTAGACACGTGTGCAACATCTCGGTATCTTTTTGCAGACGCTGCGCCATCCAGTGGCTTTATCAATACAACACAGGGACACAAACGAAAGATAATAGGTCAGCCCCTCAGTCAAGGAGCAGGTGTTGAGCACCGAAGTCTTGATGAATCTGGAGCATTAGGCTGGAAGATGAGCGTGCGGTAGTGCTGCTTCCATAAGAGAATTTCTGCTTCCGAAACAGAAATTACTGTAGGCGAACATCTGACGATTATAAACCTAAAGTCTCTCTTCTATTCACTATGGATATAAGAAAACATGAAGAGGAAAATAGCCTGATCTTTACTGAATAAGGACATCTTATACAAATATATTTACAGCCACAACAAGGAACTGAAGTGATACCTAAGAGTCTGTAAGTTAATGCAAGTTAATCTACAAATGATAACTATTCTAAGTCCAACACCGGCTTAATCTTGTAAAAGATACTTCACACAGAATCTTAAGAACCAGCAACGCAGCAGAGCCAGCACGAGCATCAAGGGGTGCTTCTCACTAGTACACGACTCCCATGGAAACGAAGCACATGTGTGTGCAGATAACATCTAGTCATAGACTAAGTCTTAAAAGTGCTTTGTGCTAGACGCCAACGAAGTAGAGACAATGTTCTTCATTCCCAGTGTAGCTGATTCCACAAAGTTAGTCCACTTAATTTTTAGTATGCATCAGAAAGCTTCTTCCAGAGCCGTCAGAAATACACCAAATGAGTCAGAGTCAGTACCAAGACTTGCAGGGTATTTTGCTTAAGCAAGCGGTCTGTCTACAGAGAACATAAGCAGAAAAAAACAAAGTCTCCAACAGATCAGTAGAGGTTGTGTCCTACAAGTAGAATACAGAAAGTTCTCACATGACTTAGTGCTGACATGTCTATCATTCTATGTTCAAACATGACACGGTGCAGAAATTAGGTCCACAGTGACATAATGTATGATGTGCGTTGATGAAAGTGTAGCAGTGTTTCATGGATACTCTGAAGGAAGCTCAGTGTGACGACCCGTCCGATCAGAGGCTATGTTCAATAATATAGCTAAGAAAACAGATTACACAGTGAACAATGACAAAAGACATTGCTGAGAAAGTCAAATTGCCAAGGATGGCTGTGTGAAGAGTAAGTGTAGAAGGCTATGTTAATGAGGGCAGAGCAGGTGCTCATATCCTTCCCTTCACTGGTGACAACACTAACTGATCTCTGAGTGAGTGTTACGTAGATAGTGTCAGGAGATATGGCACCTTCCACCTGCTCACTTACTCTTTCAATTAACCATAACAACCAAACAGAAAACCAGATGTGTTTCAGTCCCAGTGCATGTATGTATGTATGTATGTATGCATGTATGTATGCATATGCTTGAATAAATGTGCATATAAATGGGCATAAGTACGAATGTATGTATGTATGTATATTTGTATTTGTGCACATGTGTACGTGTGAATGTAAACTTGAATATAAATGCAATCCTACTGAATTAAGCACCCAGCAGAGCTAGGTATTTTACCCTGATGCGAGGACATACGGTGGTGTGGGTGCCTCTGAACTAATTTCATTCTAACCCCCGTTTGGTGTACTAGCCTTCACGAACAGTATTTTATATTATTGTAAACACGAACGAGTAATATTGAATCAATAATAACACTGCGACTAGCCGAGGATTCGAACGATGTCGTTTTGGCCCACCTCATGGTGAGCAGATCAAGGTAAAACACCTAGCTCTGCTGAGTGCTTGATTCTGTAGGATTGCGTGGTCCTGTGGGTTAGAGCGTCATGTGTGATTTTCGCTCACCATGAGGTGGCCAAAATGACATGGGTTCGAATCCTCGGCTAGTCGCAGTGTTGATATTGATTCAGTACCACTCGTTCGTGGTTACAATAATATATATATATATATATATATATATATATATATATATATATATATATATATATATATATATATATATATATATATATGCAATAAGATCACAGTAAACAGGTGATTTTTTTTCAGAATATGCAAAACAACCACTCTGAAAGAATAGAGAAATTTCAAGCGCTTTCGTGACTACTCCTTGATAATGTGAGTAGTCACGAAAGCGCTTGGAATTTCTCTATTGTTTCAGAGTGGTTGTTTTGCATATATATATATATATATATATATATATATATATATATATATATATATATATATATATATATATATATATATATATATATATATATATATATATATATATATATATATATATATATGTATTATATATATATATATATATATATATATATATATATATGAGTGCATGTTTGAGTGTACATATGTTTGTGTCTATAAAGTGAATATGCGTGTGCGCATGTACGTATGTATTCACATCACCACGTATGCATCACCACCACCACCACCACCGACCCCCTCCACACCACCAATACCACAACCACTACCAACACAGCCACCATCACCACCACCACCACCACCACCACCTCCACCACCACCACCACCACCACCACCACCACCACCACCACCAGCACCACACCACCACCACCACCACCACCATCACCACCACCACCACCACCACCACCACCACCACCACCACCACCACCACACCACCACCTCCACCACCACCACCACCACCACCACCACCACCACCACCACCACCACCACCACCACCACCACCACCACCACCACCACCACCACCACCACCACCACCACCACCACCACCACCACCACCACCACCACCACCACCACCACCACCACCACCACCACCACCACCACACCACCACCACCACCACCACCACCACCACCACCACCACCACCACACCACCACCACCACCACCACACCACCACCACCACCACCACCACCACCACCACCACCACCACCACCACCACCACCACACCACCACCACCACCACCACCACCACCATCCCACCACCACCACCACCACCACCACCACCACCACCACCACCACCACCACCACCACCACCACCACCACCATAATTACAGTTGCCTGCAGAATCTTCACAGACGCAGCAATTACTCTCTAGTATCGAATTAATTATAATTTTGATTATATTGAAGTACTGACAGAGGCGCACCACTACACACACCCTTGAGCTGATGTCACCTATAAAATAACCAGACACTGAGCTGACGTCAGCTATAAAATAACCAGACACTGAGCTGACGTCAGCTATAAAATAACCAGACACTGAACTGACGTCAGCTATAAAATAACCAGACACTGAGCTGACGTCAGCTATAAAATAACCAGACACTGAGCTGACGTCAGCTATAAAATAACCAGACACTGAGCTGACGTCAGCTATAAAATAACCAGACACTGAGCTGACGTCAGCTATAAAATAACCAGACACTGAGCTGACGTCAGCTATAAAATAACCAGACACTGAGCTGACGTCAGCTATAAAATAACCAGACACTGAGCTGACGTCAGCTATAAAATAACCAGTCACTGAGCTGATGTCAGCTATAAAGTAACCAGAGCTTTGAACTGACGTCAGCAACAAAACAACTTTGAGGTTCCATCTGACATCAGCTGAAAGATAATTGATATCAGCTTTATACAACCACAACTTTGAATT